AGTGGCTGATGGTTTAATGGGTTGTCATGGACATGGTTCTGTAAGCTTTATAAGGAGAGCAAGTGAGAAGGTTAGCTCTCTTGCTCATGCCATTCTGGCCATGTGATGCCCTGGTCACTATGGTACTCTACAGACACTCTTCACCATGAAGAAAGCCCTCACCTTCTTTTTTTTTTAGCTATTCAAAACTTAATTCTTTGTGGTATTTACTTTACACCTCACCTTCTTCATGTGTTCCCTGGACCTTGGACTTCCCAGCCTTGAAAACTGTAAGAAATAAATTTTGTTTTCTTTACACATTACCAAATTTCAGGTTTCCTGTTAACAAGCAACAGAAAATAGACTTATACAGATCCCTTGAGTCAGTCCCAACCTAGCCCCCACTTCCAACAACATAGTCTCCCTTAAGTCCCTCTATAAAGAAATTCAAGAGTGCCACTTTTAGTCTTGGGGTGGGAACAGAATCCTTTAATTCAAAATTGGCTGTGAATTCTGGCTCTGCCAAGAATTAGTTCTGGGACACTGGGCAATAGTGATGGTTAATCCAGCCCAGTCTTCCAAAGCCAGGGATTCCTCTCCCATCCTTGCTAATTCTTTGAAGAAAGCTCCTTTTAGCATAGTCCATAGCTTCTTGAGGACAGTTCATTTTGAGAGGGAAGTTATAAAAGAAACCATCATAATATTCAATAAACAGGAAACCAAAATATAAGCATTTTAAAATAGTATTAAATATTTTTGAGTAGTTATATTTGGTCTAAAACAATGCAAAAGAGAATTCTCCATAATACTTTACCTTGAATTTATTTAACACAATTTTAAAAACTTAAACTGCTTTAAAATCTCTTTTCTTTTCTGATTTTTTAAAAAAGTAATCATAAATGCTAGCCCGTCCACATTCTATCAAGAAAGTGGGCTGAGTTAGTGCTGACTCAGTAAACAGATTATAAATTTTCTACCTAGATGTTTAGGAATGCCACATGCCCCAAACTGAACTCACTTTACCCTTTCAAACCAACTCTCTTCTCCATTTCTCCCGCAAACATTGTACAGTTTTGGAGGAACGTGCTTCCCTGGCCAAGGGGTGGGCCCCTGACCCCAGCAAGACTAACCGGCCTCCCTCATGAGAGTCACAAGAAGAGCCACAGAGAGACATAAGCAGATGGAGAAAATCGGTCCCACTAGTAGCACCCTAAAGAGATTGTCCCTTAGATCCAGATATCTAGAGCTGTTCCACTCTTCCTCACAAAGCCCCTGTCTTTGGCCTTCCCTTGAATTCCATGAGCTGTACCAGCCATCCTATTAAATTCTGTTTTTGCCTAAGTTAGCCTGAAACAGCTCCCACTGACTGCTACCAAAAAACCCTAACATATATGTCAGATGTGTCCTCATTGTAAATGCCCCATTACTTTAGGAGACCTGAGTGAGTCTCCATTCCTTGCAACCTAAGGTATCCAACTTAAATGTCTTAATCATGTCACAGGTTTAAAGTTCTTCATATATTAAAAGGGATAATGTAACAAGGGTAATGGTTTAAAAATTATCAATCTTCTTTTGGGCCTTTCCAAGTACAAGGCTGCCAAAACTACCTCAGGCATCCCTAGGATTTGTCACAATAATATTGTTTCTGAAGTGTAATTGCACTATGGAATTGTACAACAAGACAGTATCCTTGCTGGTTCTTTGCCTATTTTATTAATTGGAAATAAAAGTATGCAGATGTCAAAACAGAAAAACAAAAAAACAGCTGTTGCCTTGAGATGGAATTTGCCTCTCAAGAAAATCCTTTACACCTCCCAATTAGCATATAAACAGCTAAATTTAAAAGACTGAGCCCATAAATCTACCATTGACTCTGACTGCTGTTAAGCCTTTACTGGAGTCAGGAATAAGGAAGATACGATGTGGAAATAAAAGCACACACCTTTCTGCCCTAGAGGAAATACAGGAAGAAGCTCAGAGAATGAGGCAGGAAGCTAAAATAGCCAGAAGAGTAAGTCCTAAGTGGCCCTTCTACAGTGTGTAGCTTGGGGAAATAAGTGTCTGGGTAAATGGAAACAAGCCCTTAGGCAGAGGGGTCTTCTGCTCCCCTATCCTCAATACAGGACACAGGGAGGATGCTATCCTGCAGCAACATAGGATACAGCTGCACTGACAAGATGGCATGGTATGGACAGGCAGAGGGAGGCCTGAGGTTAGCTATCCTGAATCACCCTTGTTTTTCATGAGTCTTAGGATATGAAAGTAGCTGAGAGTTAGGCTGGGAAGTTTGACACAGGTTATTGGCATAGTGAAGGAAAGATGGCTCTATAGTGAGGGCAGCACTACAGACCACTCAAGCCAAAATCCTGTAAGGAGTCTCTAATATCAAAGGAAATCCAGTTTAGGTAGGATCATCTAGGAAGCACCACCAACAAAGGTGCCTGTGTCCAAACAATGGACCACAAGTTCACACACTGAAAGCCAGTAGAACATCCAGCAACCAGGTGAACATGGGCCATCCTTCTGCAGACCAGCAGTTGCCATGCCAACGTATACATACCAGTGGGCCAGCATAAGGCCAGGGGCACTCTCCCCCAATGCCTTGAGGATGTGAAAGCCACTCAACCCCTTCTTCCACATACTATCTTAAGGAAACCATTGGGGTACGGGACAGTATTTCTGAGAGAAACAATAACCCAAGATAACTATTTAAATGATAATACTAAGCTAAGCTTTAAAATGAATTGGACATTCAGTTATTCCTCCCCATCCCCACCCCTTCCACTATCCAGGGGGTGGGAGCTCAGAAAGAAAGTAATATTAGTGTCAGAAAATAACTAAGAGTCATTTAGTTATTTTGCACACAAATTGTATACACACACGTGAGATAGTCTGTTGACAGAGCCAAGGAACAAAAGCAAAAACAAGATTTATAAGAAAGGAGAGAAATAAATTGCAGTAACATTGCACATTTTTAGGGTAAATTGATAAGATGGCACTTACCAAATTGAGTAGGCCAATCAAGGGTATTAAATAAAACATTTTTATATATTCTCCAAAAAAAGTTGAGAGTTCAGCTGAGAAGCATGTTTGTCAGGCTGTATTAAGCCTGCTCACCCTACCACTTTAGTAGACCAGTCCTGCACCATTTCCAGCAACTGAATTTCTCATTACTTTATACAGAGTGAAGGACCACATTTTCTCTGTACGTCTCTTACCTACTAAAGTAGCTATCTGGAACAGAGAACTCCTGACAACTGCAGTTAGGATTCCGGGGTCCAAAAGGGATAAGAAAGATAAGCCACCACCTTTACATAATAGTGTCTATAAATAACATTAGGCTGGGCATGATGAATTTTACATCCCAATTAGACTCTTTTGGATTATTACCTAGTAAAGATCTCTTCAGACTGGTTTCCTTGACATGCTCATTCCCATCTTGAAGTATTTCTCCTGCTACTTTGCCCATCTGATATGTACTCACCTCTCCACGTCGTCCAGCCAAACCCCATCAATAATTTGTGGCCCAATGATAAATAAAAATTATGCAAGGCCATTGTTTTAGATTGAGTTCCTGCAGTAGGTCCCAAAAGACCAGACTAAAAATCAAAATGGAATCACCCCTGCTGAGTATCATGTCACTTTGGGCTGTGGTCTGATCTTCAGAGAAGTCAGGAGAAAACTAACAGGCAATTTCCCAAAAAGGCCAGTTTAAATCTTCAATTGATATGATAATGAAGTTCCCTCTGCTTTAATCCTTACACAAAACAGATAGGCTGAAGTAATTTGATGTTATTTTTCTATTATTCTGTTTTCTTATCTCCACCTTACAAGGAAAATAACTTTGAAATGACCAATTTGCTTTTTCTACTTTGTTTCTACTTTCTTTAGCCTTTTTCTGTCTATAAAGCCAATCTCTTCTGCTTGGCTCATTGGAACACTTATTCGATTCTATGGAATAATAAGTTGCTCAATTCTAGAATCTCAATAAAGCCAATTGAGATCTTCTATTAAATTTGTTATAATTTTGTTCTTTTTTTTTTTTCCTTTTTGTCTTTTTTACTGACCAGTAACGGGATCGCAACCCTTGGTGTTGCGCCCGCACTGCACTCAGCAAGTGAGCGGGAACCGGTCTCCACATGGGATCCGAACCCTCGGCGGTAGCGCTGCCACGCTCCCAAGCGGCGCACTCTCCAGTGCGCCACCGGGCCGGCCCCTATAATTTTGTTCTTTGACACCAGCTTTGGTTCAGCCTCATCCGTGAGGCCCACTCTGGCTCCATCCTTTCACCATATGCATGTATGAGCCAAAATATACTGCCATATGCCATAGACAGTGCCCCTCCTTCCTTCCTTTCTTTCATTCGTTTATCTAGTATATTTAATGAATGCCAATGCTGATGCAAACAATGCACAACACTGGTCCTGGTAATAAAAACATTGATTGACACCATCTGTGCCTTCAAAGGGCTGACAGTGCACGCTGGGAACAATGTGGAGAAAGGGGAACCCTCCTACACTATTGGTGGGACTGTAAATTGGTATAACCATTATGGAAAACAGTATGCAGATTCCTCAAACAACTACAGATACAACTGCCATAGGATCCAGCAATTCCACTGCTGGGTGTATGCCCAAAGAAATGGAAAGCATCATGTCGAAGAGATACCGGCACCCCATTGAAGGAAATGGTTAATGGACTTCTGTGGACAGCGCCCAAGGACGTGTTCACTTGATGAACTTGCAAACGAGTTAACCAAGAAATGTCAAGGATTGCAAACAATCCTTGACAACGCTTGAAGTCATGAGAACACTTTCTTGGGATGTTCCCAGGAGACGCAATAAAGATAATCAAGTGTTTGAGAAGGGAGGTAATGGCCTTCTGCTCTTGAGAAAAGTATAACAGAATTTATGCATTAATGCTTATCTTGCATGCACAAGCTTGCTAAATGTAATAAAAGCTGTAACAGTGGCTGGGTTGGTGCTATTTGCCTGAGAGAGCAGTAGCCCCCTGCTCTTCACCTGCATCTCATCTGCTGCATCTTCCTTCGCATCTCCGATCATTTTAATCAACATCTGGCGCCCACACGAGGGGCACGAAAGGTAAGACATGGGAACGGACGGGACCGAGGAGGTTTTAACGGACGGCGAAGAGTTATGCCATCTCTTCGGGAAATTTAGAGTCAGGACATAATGGGTAATTCCCCATCAGTGTTAAGTGTTTAAATGTTAAGTGATTAAGTGTTAAGTGTTAAGTGTTTATGATCAGTGTTAAGTGATTACATGGCAGTATTGAAATCATTGTTGACTGCTTCAGGATTAAAAATTAAAGAGAAGGTTTTACTTTCATTATTAAAAAAGATACAGAAACATTGCTATTGGTTTACTCCAGACAATAAGAACCAATTTGATTTAAAAATTTGGAGACAGGTCAGTAGAGCTTTACGGAGAGCTCATCAGGCTGGAGAAGTTATATCAGCAGAGGAATGGGCAGCTTTTAACATGGTGGTTTTAGCCTTGCAACCTTTTCAATCTGATTCAGATGACAGCAGTCAGCATTCTCAATCTGATTCATTAAAGCCACAAAAGAAATTTTTTTCTTCACATATATGTGATACTCCTCCTGAGCCTTCTGCCCCTCCCATGCCCAATTCAGAGTCTGATGATCATTCTGATTTTTCCGATGATGAGACTGAGATTCCAAAACCTGAATTAGAAAAGAAATGTCTTATTCAATCTAAATCATACCCACCATTACCTAAGACCCCTGACGATCCAAAATTGGACGTTTTGGACGATCTTATTCAAAAACTGGAGGCTTGCTTACAGGATGCACAAGCTTTCCCTGTTGTACAGCAGAAATCAATCCCTCCATCTGCTTCTGCCCCTGGCATCCCACATCATATTTTTAAATTTCCAAATTCACCTCAAGTGACAAAGATTATGTTAGATGCTGATTCAGGGGATCCCCAAAAGACTCTTCCTGACATGCCTCCTACTGGATTTTTTAATTTTCCCATTTTAAGACAGGAAATGCCTCCTAATGAAGAATTTCCTAATGGATTTTTTCAAGTGCAATATGATCCTGTCAGTTTTCAATATTTAAAGATACTTAAGCAGGCTGTTAGTACTTATGGTATTGCCTCCCCTTATGTTACAGGACCTTTAATGTCTCTTGCTGAGGACAATTTACTTATCCTGAAAAATTGGGAAATGCTTGCTCGTACGACTTTGGAATCTCCTCAATATGTACAGTTTAAATCATGGTGGCGAGATGAAGCAGAAAGGGTGTCTCGCCTAAACGCTTATCAGCGTAATGGAGGGCCTGATGTGGAACAACTTACAGGTACTGGTGCCTGGGCAGATCTTCAACAGCAATGTCAAATAAACCCTGCTGCCCTTGCCCAATTAAAGGCAATTTGACTTATGGCTTGGCAGCGGATTCAAGACTCAGGACAATCCCCCCAAACTTTAGTTAAGATAATACAAGGTCCTAATGAACCCTATACTGATTTTTTGGCCCGGCTTCATGTTGCTGTCTAAAGAGCAATTAGTAATGAGCAAGCTCGGAGATTTTACAGGTTCAATTTCTGGATTTGAAATTTATTCATTATATGGATGATATTTTAATTGCTATGCCTCCAACTTTTTCTTGCCCAATATTGTTACAGATTATTTGTGCCACACTTTTAATTGCAGAGGATAAGATTCAATCACAGCCTCCTTTTTCTTATTTAGGACAAAAGATTACTGAACAAATCATTATTCCCCAAAAGGTACAAATTCAAAGGGATTCATTGAGGACTTTAAATGATTTTCAGAAGTTATTGGGAGATATAAAGCTTTGCCCTTCACTGAGTATCCCAACATATGCCTTGCATCATTATTTTCAACACTAAAGGGCGATCCAACCCTGGATAGCCCTCGAGTGTTATCCCAAGAAGCCGAATCTGAGTTACAACAATTGGAAAATATTATCCAACAAGCACAATTGCAAAGAATTACTGACTATACAAATTTACAACTTGTGATTTTTCATACACCTCATTCACCCACTGATGTGTTACTACAATAAGATAATATTATTGAATGGCTTTTTCTTTCGCATAAAACTACTAAATCATTGGAAACATATATACATAAAATTTCTGTGTTGATAACTAAAGGACGGCTGTTTCCGCCAGTTAACTGGTCAAGATCCTTGTATTATTGTACTGCCTTTGTCTCACAAAGAGATACAATCCTTGTATGCTTTCAATGTACAGTGGCAATTGGCTGTTAGTGAATTTTTAGGAAGTTTTACATCTCATTATCCTTCTCATAAGATACTTCAATTTCTGCAAAGAATGTCTTGGATCCTTCCTCACTGTGTTACATTTTCTCCTATATCTAATGCAAAAACTTACTTCACAGATGCTAACAATTTTGGCCTGGCAGGATATATGGACACAGTAAACCATAAAGTCCTTCAAAGTCCTTATACTTTGGTTCGGAAAGCTGAATTATACGCTATATATTTACTTTTAATTGATGTAGGAGATATTCCTTTAAATATTCTTTCAGATTCCCAATATGCTGTCCAAGTGGTACAAACTATAGAAACTGTTACTGTTCCTTCTGATTCTAATGAATTACATGCTTTATTTCATTTGCTGCAGCAAGTTATTCGCTCCCATTTTTCACCTCTTTTTGTTATGCACATTCACACTCACACCAATTTGCCTGGACCACTGAGTAAAGGTAATGCATTAATCGATACTCTTGTAGGTTCTGTTTTGCAGGCCACTGAGGCTCATTCCCATTTTCATCGTGATGCTCGCTCTTTACATCATGATTATCATATTTCATTGACTCAAGCCCATGCGATAGTACAACAATGCCCCATATGTCAAAAATTAGATGCAGTTCCTTTATCAGCCGGGGCCAACAGCCATGGGAATGCTCCTTTACAGTTATGGCAAATATAATTATTCTGATTTAAGCATCACATACTGCACACAGATATTGATATTCAACTCTGTACCACACAGATATGTACCAATCAATTATGTTACAATAAAAATACAAATTTTTTTAAAAAGAAGGAAAATTGAAGTTCAGCAGTCAACAATACCCTGTTTTGCTTGGTGACCACATCTTATAATTATTTTATATCACCAATAAATCCAAACATAACAAATAGGTAGCAGACAATCAATAAATACAAGTGATGGATTAGTGATGGGCAAGATTCCTCAGATTCTGAAGGCTTTTATTTTTTATCAGACAACTTGTTTCCTAAGCTCCATGCTGGGTATTATATGATAAGAATTCAGTGGTCAGATAATTTTGTTAAACACTAAGTTAAGCCAAGGTAAATGGATTTTTTTTTTATAACATGGCTCCTAAGAGCTTTTAACATGCTTATAGAGATTGTTAATGACTGTGAGAGCTCTTTGGAGGGTGTCTGCCAGATAGATTTCTAGAAATTTGTCAAGAGATCACCAATTCACAAAATGAGTTGAGACTGAACCTCTAAGAGTTTTTTCAAGAATAAGTACAAAATTGATTCAATATTCAGGCACAGGCAGCATACCTCAGTCCATCCACCAACATGGCTCAGCCCTGCCTGCTGTGCTTTCCTCAAATTAATCTATAATTCTCAATATAATTTGTTATACCTTGGAAAAAATTCTATAGTATATCTAAAAATTAATAACCAGAAATTGATAAATATTAAAATAAGTCATTAAAGCAATGCATCACAATGGTATAGCATAAGACAGATAATAGAACTAAAAAGTTAAAAATAGACAAAACATACACTTATGGCTTTATTATATGTTAAATATGAAACAGGTTTTTATGTGTGGTATTTTTTTTTTAATTGAAACACAATTAACTATACATATCTGTGGGGAAAGTGTTGAATGTCAATACTCAGGTGCTATACATGAGGCTCAACTCAGGATAATTAGCATATTCAACATTGTATAATGTAAACATTTTTTGTGGCACTTTACCTATTTCTCACTAATCCCTCCCACCATTTCCCACCTCTGGTGGCCTCAGTTCTCTCTCTTCTCTCATTTTGAAAGTTCAATGAATTATTGAAATTGTTGTATCTTTCTTTCTTTCTTTTATTTGTTTATTTTTTTTTTTTAGCTCCCATTTATGAGTGAGGACATGTGATGTTTCTCTTTTTGTGACTGGCTTACTTCACTTAATATGGTTTTCTCTAAGTTCATTCACGTTGCTATGAATGGCAGAGTTTCATTCTTTTATTGGCAGAGTAGTATTCCATTGTGTATATACACCACATTTTCCTTATCCAACCATCTGTCAATAGACATTTAGATTGGTTGCAACTCTTGGCTATTGTAAATAGAGGTGTGATGAACATAAAAGTGCAGGAATTTGTTCAATATGAAGATTTCCATTCCTTTGAGTTTATAACTGGCAGTGGGATTGCTGGATCATATGGCAGTTCTATCTGCAGTTGTTTGAGGAAACTCTATACTGTTTTCCATAATGGCTGTACCACTTTGCAGTCCCACCAACAGTGTAGGAGGGTTCCCGTTCTCCGCATCCTCACCAGCATTTGTCATTCTCTGTCTTTTTGATAATGGTCAGTCTAACTGGGATGAGATCATATCTCAATGGGGTTGTGATTTGCATTTCCCTGATGCTTAGTGATGTTGAGCATTTTTTCTTGTGTCTGTTGGCCAGTTGTATATGTTCCTTTGAAAAATGCCTATTTACCTCCTTTGCCCATTTTTTAAATCAGGTTACTAGTGTTTTTAGTGTTGAGTCATTTGAGTTCCTTGTATATTCTGGATATTAATCCCTTGTCAGATGCATAGTTTGCAAATATTTTCTCCCTTTCTGTATGTTGTCTATTCACTCTGTTTCTTTTGCTGTGTAGAACCTTTTTAGTTTGATATGTATGATCCCATTTGTTTGTTTTTCCTTTTGCTTCCTGTGCTTTGAGAGTCATATTCATAAAGTATTTGCCTTCTCTTACTTCTTGAAATGTTTCTCCTTTGTTTTCTTTTAGGAGGTTTATAGTTTCAAGTCTTATATTTAAGTCTTTATTC